AGTAGCATCACAGTAATTTACACTTATACTGTAATAACCAAATTCTTCATCAAAGCGGAGTGGATGTTTAATTTGTCTTCCTGATCTTTTTCCTTTTGTTTTTTCTTCATCCTCTTTTATCTCATCATTACTATTTTCTTTATGTGTATTGTCTTTTTCCAAGTCTTTTGTCATATCCTTTTCTTGATGGTTTGTACTAGTAGAGTCTTCTCCTTCCTTTTCCTTTGCTTGATCTGAATCCTTTTGTCTTTCTTCTTTATCTTCATTCCTTTCCTCTTTCTCATTTTCAAATCCACACAAGTTTACATTCTCTTCTATTATGTCACAATGTCTAGCCATTATAACTCTGCTATTCATCAATACTCTATATCCAGTATCTGTATATCCAATCAAAATTCCAACCTCTGCTTTCTTGTCCCATTTAGATTTTCGTTTTTCTTCTGGAATTCTTACGAATACTTTACTTCCATATAATTTTAAATTTTTTACTGATGGCTTCCTTTTGAAAAATATTTCATATGGCGTTTTTCTCTCAATGGTATTAGTTAATGTTCTGTTTTTAAGATATGCAGCTGTTTTAATTACTTCTGGCCAAAATCTTCTTTCAATTTTTGCTTCTGATAAAAGACATCTCCCCATATCCATTAATGTTCGATTGTATCTTTCTGCTGTTCCATTTAGTTCATGCACATATGATGGACAAGGTTTTATTATTATTCCCTTTTCCTTTGCAAACTTAAAAATTCTTGCATTCATATACTCCTTCCCATTGTCACATCGCAGTTCCTTTATCATCTTTCCAGTCAAGTTTTGAACTTCATTAACATACTGTACTAAGCATTCATATACTTCATCTTTTGTCTGGATACAATAAACTTTAACTAGTTTGCTATAATCATCTATGAAATTTAAGAAATATTTTTCTCCAAGATTTCCTGTAGTTTGATGTGGTCCATTTAGATCTGTATGTACAATTTCTAATATGTCTTCTGCTCTTCTCCTGTTATTATGAAATGGTAAGTTATGCATTTTGTTTTCAATACATGTAGCACACTTTAAATATTCTGGTTCAATCTCTCTGGGTAGTCCATCTAGTGATTCATTTTTACACATTATTTTCAAGTTGTTAAAATTGATATGTCCCAGTGTTCTATGTAGTTTTTCTTTTATAGTCATGTTGCTTTTACTCATGTTCGCTTGTGATTTTCTTTCATTGATATAACTTTTCATTTTATATAGTTTATCCTCTTTGATTGCAACAGCTATCACCTTTCCATATGGGTTGTATATTTTTGAAAATTTTCTCCTTGAAACAATTGAATGTTTATCTGTGATCCTCGAATAACTCAACAAGTTTGCCTTCATATCTTTTACAAAATAGACATTTTCCAACGTAACCTCAGACTTTTGTCCATAAACTGGGAAACAAGTTTTAATATTGCCAACTTTTGTAGCTTCTAATATTCTTCCATCACCAACTTTTACTTTTATAGGTTTCTTCAATGTCTCAGAGGTTTCAAAATACTCATCGGTGTTAGTGATATGATCTGTGCAACCACTATCAAGTAACCATTCTATTTCATCTATCTTTGACTTTTCGTTTTTACTTGTAGTATTAATATAAGTATTATTTGCAATGGTAGTCTGAAAACTATTTCCTTGATATTCATGTATGTTTTGATGATAATTTCCTCGCCCTCTCTGAAAGTTTCTGGCATTGAACAATCCACGTCCTCGATAAACAGAAAAACCACGACTTCGACTACGATTTTCAATTTCAAAACGACAATTTCTTTTTAAATGACCAGGTTTTCCACAGCTGAAACATTTCAACTTATTCTGAAATGATGACCTGGCTTCAGCTCGAAATACATTTGATCTATCATTTGACTCTTCATTAGAATTTTCCTCTGCACTTTTTAACTTTATTTTGCTTTTTAAATAGTCAACAGTTCTCTCTTTTTCTGGTAAAACATCTATTAAATCACCAAAATGACTATACTTCTGTGATAGCGATTTTAACATGTAGTTTAATTTTTCTTGTTCTGATATCATTGCACCTGCCTGCTTTAATTCGTTCACAGCCTTTTCAAATGTGTCGAAGAATAAGCATACATCTGAATAATTTTTCAATTTGATACTTTCAAGGTTATGTCGGCACACAATTTGCAGAGCTGTTGACTTTTTCAGATACATCTCATCAAACTTTTGGATAATTTCGTAAGCCGTATCAAGTTCGCTTATGTATTCTAGCTGTTTGTTAGTTATTCCGCTATAGATATAATTAGTTGCCTGGATATCTCGTTCGTCCCATTCGTCATCATCAGTCTTAACTTTAGCCCTCATTACTACATCTTTACACTTTTTGAACTGTAGAAATTTAAACATATGTAATTTCCAGTTACTATAATCTGCTCCGTCAAATATTGGTATATTAATATCACTGTTCTTCGCCACCATTACCATGTGTGCTTTTTCTTTATTTTCTTAAATTATTTAACCCTTTTCACTTCTTGTTTTTTTTCTTTTCAATCATGCTCTGCTACCATGTTAAGACAAAAAATAAAGCATTACCTTTTCTTTTGTTTTATTCTTTTAATACAGTAAAACCTGTCTATGGTGACCACTCACGGTTCCTTCAAAAATTGGTCTTTTAGACAGGTGGTCCTCCAATACAGGTGGTGCTGTAATACCATTTTTCCGTACATATTTTGCGCACTTTTTAGCCATTTCTACTAAGAAGAACTCGAGTTGAGTAAATATAAGCGAATTTTTTCAACGATAGGGCTATATTGGTATTGTGTTTTATTCTTATCGGATAACTCGACTTACAGGAGTTTGTCGTGATTTTATAAGACATATTTAATACCAATATTTTAAAGATTAATACAATAGTTGCATTTTCTCAATTATAATTCACACTTTCTTTTTTTCGGCTTAGTTAATTCAACTCGGTTGTTTTCGTTTGCTCCTCAGTTACGTGCATTACGTCATCGATATAAAAGCACGTTGTATTTCTACATCACTTTGGTTTTGGTATTCGCTAGTTTAATCTTATTTTAACTTTAAAAATACTGTATTTTTTAATATTTAATATTTTCTTAAGTACAATAAGAAAAATTATTAAATAAATAATAAAACGATTTTATTATTTTTTCTCATTGTTCGATTTCATTACATTCTGCGATTGTCATTGTGGAATCGAAAAAGGAAGGCTGTCTGAGTTTTGCATTAATGCGTTTATTGTTTTTTGAATATTTTGCGCGCGAAAATGACTTGGATATTATTTCCTTAAAATATCCGGGAAATAAGGTAGGTTGATATAGAAACTGTTTATCGCATATGTACTGCACATGAGCTTCAAAATAAATAAATAGATAAGTAAATAAAAATAAATTTTATCAAACAATGAGATCAGCCGATTAATTGTATTGTGTACAATATTTTATACCCCCAAGAAAAATACTGTAGGTCTACGGTAAAATAAATTTCGTTTTCCACAGTTAAACTTCGCCGCTAATTGCTGTTGTGATAACTTTAATACGATCTTCTAATGACAGCACTTTGCATTTCTTTCGTTTTTCGGACATTTTCCAACAAACTGAAATGAATTTCCTTTGTTGCTAGACTAACTTATTAACACCTTCAACTAATTTCAAGGGTAGGAAAAGAGCCTGGAATGGGTTCGAACGAGAGTTTAGACTAACTCATTATACTAGGAGGTGGAAACATTGTTGAGATGGGTTCTTACAATAGTTTAGACCAGACACATTTGCGAAAGTGGTCGCTTATTACAGGTGTTGTATGTTGTTTCGGACCAAAAATCGATGCCCGCGGTTGCGTTACACAGGTGGTTGTTTAATACAGGTAACTTATACGAAGACTCTATGGATAAACTATTCCATGCCAGAAATTTTCACCTGTTTTGACAGGTGCCCGTCGAATGCAGGTGATCGCCTAAGCAGTTTTTACTGTACTTAACTTTAATAACTAACAGAACTTATTTACACCTTTTCAACCAGACGAAACTCTGATGACTAACAACTTTATTAGTGTTGCCAGATATAAATGTACAAGAATTAACAATATAAATGTACAATAATTAACATCAACAAAATATCAATAACTGATCTCATAATTCAAAAATTGGGTATGCTCATAGCCCATTAAAATTAGGAAAAATTAACTACATTATGTTATTGTTCAAACAGTTTTTAAATATTCTATTATAATTTTTAATTAATCAAGACATTACATATATTTTTAAATTATCTCTTTATTAAGTTTTTGTATCTGAAGAATAAAATGATGTTATAAATTAAAAAAAATAGTGCAAATCATTTAAAGTTTGGATAATTTCTTAAATAACAAGAATAATAAAATTTTAATTCAGGTAATAATTCAAGAATGCATTAATAATAATAATAATCAGATTGTCTATAACATGTAATAAGCTATATAAACAATATAAAAATGTTTAGTACTATAGCATATTACATTAGTAAACTCAATATTTTTTGTTTTTTGAAATCATATTTAGAATAAAATTTTCCATGCATATATTACAAAATCTTTTAATAAGCACTTTATATTCCAAACTGATTATTATTTTCAATCATATTTTTGAATATGCTCTAAAAATATTAGAATATGTTATTTTAAAAAATATTCACTCAAACTAAAATTGTTTTGGGAAATATACAATATTAAAAAAGAATATTAATTTGTTTCAAATACAATAATTATTACACAAGACATACAGTAAATATTTATTCTTTTAAATTATAATATACTATATTATTGAACAAATAGATATAAATTCAAAACTATCATCAATAAATGTAGAAAATTAAAAAAAAATTTGTAAGAAAAATGGTTTTTAAAAAGTTATATAAATATAATACCATATTCTTCATGTGCCAAACATTTATGAAATATATGTTTTTTAAATAAAAATTACATTTAATGAATTGTTCATAAGAAATAAAAATAAAAAATACCTGTGGATTATGTAGAAAAGAATGTTTATTATTAATACAGCCTCCACATCTATCTAATGAAGTACCTTTTTCTCCTTCTGTCCACTGACCAAAGAATCTTGCTTCATTACATGTTTTGCTGAAACTATACCATGCTGTGTTTACAATATGACATATTGATAAATCAGTGAAGTTTGAACAGAAATCATCAAATAACATCCTGTAAAGAGGTCTAAATTTTATTATATTGTACTTTGATTTTTTATTATATATGTATATACATTATATACAGTGGGTGATCGGTTAAGGAACACTTTCACAAAAGATTTTTATAATCGAACAACGAACAAGTTTGGATAACAAACACTTCACTGAACAAACATAAAAAGAAGTGACGGAAAATAATGAATACCAATTGATTTTCCCTTGTCTTCAGGTAACAATTCGAAACCTTTCAGAGCGTGGGAGACGTCAACATCAAAGCTCAACCTGATATCAATCAGATAGTGTTTCCCCAAACTTTGAAACTCTCCATTGTAATTCCAGCTTTTTGTTTACTTTTCTGACAAATAATTTTTTTATAGTCTTTGTGAGACTGTCGATTTTTATTTTCGCGTCGATTTTTATTTTCGCATCGATTTTTATTTTCTAAAGGTGAGAGTTTAACTGTCCTATCAGGTATTTGTTAACGTTAAAATTTTGAATTACATTCAGGCCTCACATTTACATAATTCTTTCATGCACTAGTTGATTTCTGTTCTCTGAATTTTTGTGAGTGCTTTTCTGAACTTTTTATTTCAAACAGAAATTGATATTATTATGGAGTATAAAAAGAGTGGAGTGTCAAGAACTGTGTTCACCATTGAAACCAAGCAAGAGATAATAGCCAAAGTAGAGAGTGGGCAGATGATGTCTGATGTTGCTAGGTAGTATGGCTTGAACAGATCTACAGTAGGCACAGTCTTAGGTAAGAAAGATATAATCAAGAAGAGTCAGAGTTAAAGGAGTAATGAAAATCACATCTGAGAAACAAAGATGTTCCATCCATGAAAAAATGGATTGCTTTTAATTTGGATTAAAAAAAAAAAGGGAAAATGAAAAAAAAATGTTAGTAGTATGACTATCATTCAAGAGAAAGCTAGAGAAATTTTTGAAGAACTGAAGAAAAACTCCACATTCATCACATGAGGAGATAGAATTCAAATCTACTACTGGATGGTTTTCAAAGTTTAGAAGAACTGGCATTAAACATGTGGTAATTCACAGTGAATTTGCTAGTGCAAATAAAGAAGAAGCTGAGAAGTTCCGTCTCAAATTTGAAGAATTCATTAAAAAAAGAAGGATATTGTCCACAACAAATTTTCAATTGTGATGAAACTGGTTTATTTTGGAAGCACATGCCGAACCATACCTACATTACGAAAGAAGAGAAAAATATTCCTGTACATAAACCCATGAAAGACCGATTGACGTTATTTTTGGGAGCTAATGCTAGCGGTGATATGAAGCTTATCCCGCTTCTTGTCTATCACTCTGAGAACCCTAGAGCATTCAAAAAAAATTCCATAATTAAAGAAAAACTGCCAGTGATGTGGAGATTGAATAAAAGGGCATGGGTCATGCAGGGTATTTTCAAAGAATGGCTGTTTGAAGTTTGTGCTCCAAGCATCAAGGATTACCTTCAGACCAATGAGTTGCCATTAAAAGCATTGTTGCTATTGGACAATGCACCAGGACACCCAAATTATCTTGAAGATAATTTGCTGGAAGACTTTCCCTGGTTGACAGTTCAGTTTCTACCTCTGAATACCACTTCGTTGATTCAACCAATGGATCAAGAGGTTATTGCAAGTTTGAAGAAATTGTACATTTGAGCACTGTTTCATCAGTGTTCTGAAGCATGCCAGTTCTCCTCAACAATGACATTAAAAATGTTTTGGAAAGAAAAATTTGATATTCTTGAAGCTATACAACTTATTCAAAAGGCATGGTCAGAAGTCACTCAACGACAGTTGAATTCTGCTTGGTGAAAGCTGTGTCCCTTCTGCATTCAGGAAGAGAGAGATATCCCTGAAATTATGGATGAAATTGTGACAACTGCTAGAGATCTGGAATTGGAAGTGAATAAAGATGACATTGAAGAGCTCATAATGGAATCTGAAACTGATCTGACCACAAAAGAACACCAAGAAACTCAGTGAGATGATTTTCTTCTAAAAAAGAGGAAGATGAAAAAAGATCAATGCCAACATCTGCTATTAAAGATCTTTTGAAGAAGTGGGAGGATGTCAGAACAACAGTCTTAGAATGGCATCCAAACCAAGTTGAGGTTAATAGGCTTGAGGATCTCTACGACAACAATGCTATTAATTACTTCCGAAAAATCCTGAAGAAGAGAGAAAAGCAATCAACATTTGTAGGGGTTAAAGAATCTGTCCAAAAGAAAAACGTGATTAATAAAAATGCAAGACTGCATATATATGTACTTTTATTATTACATGTAAATAAATGTAGTAAGAAAGTATATATTTTTTATTTTTTGGGATCTCCAGAACAAATTAATCAAATTCCCATAAAAACCTATGGTAAATTGACAATTGGTTAATGAACAAAGTCTTGGAATGGATTATGTTTGTTAACCAATCACCCACTGTATACATATATTTTTTTCCATCAGATTATTTAAATTTATATTATTATTTTACCAAAATTCTCCATCTTCATCAAAAGTTAATCCAAGTTTTTCTCTCTCACTTTCAGAAATATTATCCCATTCTGGAGAACTAAAGAAAACAATATATTCTTTATTTACTAATAAAACACAAAATATTAATATATAATATTTTACAGCTATTAAATTCTGAAAAAGTGAAATAAAATTTTACTAAAATAATTTAAATAGCATTTCTTGTTATGTTTTCAGATATTTTTCCTCAAAAATGAACACATACATATTACATTTTTTGAAGTAATTGAACCTAATCATTTGAAGTAATATGCTCATTATATGTAACATGTTTTTGTTGACAGATTAATGCC